CAAGCTTTTTGGATTGAGGGCCCTTCTACTGGGCCATTAATAGCAAGGGCCACACCTTTGTTAGACATAGTGCATACTTTGTAACTTTTTAATAATTGAAAAAGATATAATTTATAACCAATATACTATTTTTTTTAGAAAGAGTGAATACCTATCAAATTCTGCTAAAATATTCCTTTGAATTTTACTTTGAAAACCTGTCTTTTGACAAATGTAATAATTTTGGAGAAAATTTAGGCTTAATACGAATGAATGCAAGCATTTTGATAACACACCCAATGCTCGTGGTAAAAATTATAGCTTCCATAACTTATATGACCAGATTTGTTCAGCTTCCAAAATACTATTGTCATATTTTGGACATAACTCTTTTTGAGATGATGTGACTTATGTGATTCTGTCCACAGACGAAGGCAGTGGGGATGGTCCAGTTGTTCGATGACATGAACCTCAAGTCGGACCTTCTCCGAGGTATCTACGGCATGGGCTTTGAGTTCCCCTCGCCCATACAGCAGAAAGCTATTATGCCTGCCATACAAGGTAACATATTTGTGAGGCATCATGGTGGAATCAGGCGCTTGTCAATTTTTCGGCTTATTGAGTTATTGGTATCATCTTAAAGCTTGTTCATTTGTCTTGCTTTCAATGAAAATATTACCCCTCCATCTTCAATAGAAGTGGAGATATTTTGAATTGTAGGAGGTGGGGGTCACCTGGTAGAAGAGGTCAAATTAGCGAGAAAATGGCCACCAAAGCTTGGTAAATTCCATAGTTGGAGAGTCCATGGAAACTGTATATTTATATTTTTGTACCTTTAATCAACGTTTTAGGTGAAATCCTCAAAGGAATGTGTTTGTAAAGAACATAAAAGGTGTTGAGCCAAAGAACAAAAATTTGATAAAAATTGCTAAGCATGGAGAAAACTGCTGTTTTCTTCGATTTCATTATTTTGACGAGAGCCTGATTCACCACGCTGTCTCACATATGATGATAATAAAAACCTGAAATTAAAAAGAAATTGTAAATAATTAATGATGGTTAAATAGCGTCCATATAGAGCAAATTTTCACCCAACCCCAAGCTGTATACACTTTACTACAATCTATATTATTATCCTGGTAAACCTGATAGCTTTCTGAAACAATTTCAACCTCTAGGAAAGCATACATATATCCTTCAGTTTGTCTTAGAATTATTATCGTCGCTGTAGCAAGAAAAATTAGTAACTTCTTCTTTGTCTTCAAATGATCAGTTCTTGAACATACATCTATGGTTCATGGTTCACCTCCCATTTCTCTCCACTGAATAAACCTATAATATTATCCAATTATTTTTCTGCTACTCCACGGTTCAGGTTCTCTGAATTCTGTAAGTAAGTTATTCTTGACTGCCATAAGCTAACAGAACGCTATTTTTATTGACAGCAGTTTTGAGATAAAGAGATTTTTTGTCAGCATAAGCATTTCAAAAAGGTGTTTTTTTCATAATTTGAATTCTAATTTATTTAAAAACTTATCACAGTTTCACTTTGATTTTTTCACTCAAGTAGGCCTATAGTGACTCATCAGGCCTTCAATTTAGCAATTAAAAAAAACTTGGCATCAAAAACAAAAAGGATGTTTCTTCAGCTTACAGCAGAGTACCTCTGTCTCTTTTGCCTTGTATTTCTCCAGCGAGAGCAAGCTGTTCAAGGCTTTATCTATGACTGAGACAATTAATTTATCGTAACTGTTGTTCTAGTTTCTCACTGTTGTGTTGATGTGCAGGCCGCGATGTGATAGCTCAGGCACAGTCAGGCACCGGGAAGACGGCCACCTTCTCCATCTCCATCCTTGAGCGACTCGATGTGGAGCTGAACGCGTGCCAAGCGCTGGTCTTGTCTCCTACGAGGGAACTGGCTCACCAGGTGATGGTTCATGCAGTTTGACACATTATGTTATGTATATATATATATAATGGAGTCTGCTAAAACTGAACATGTTTAATCCAAAAATAGCGGTAAACGGAAAGAAAATAAGTCCTTGATTTTAAAATAAATTCTGTTTCAGCAAACTCTCGAAACCAAAAACCCCAGCTAAACCAAAGAAAATTCAGCGGTCCTGGAGATTTTTGGTTTGAGCAAACACCACTGTATATATGAAACAAGAAACACACACTGTACACTCATACATTTATCCACACAACTGAGATATGTGATGAGTGAAGAATCAAAGGATGGAAAAAAAACAGAGAGAGAGTTCAACATACTAATCCAGCCACACTGTTGCGAATGCGGAGTAGAGACTGGCAAATGTTCAGTTGGGTATGGTACCTTGATTAGGATGAGAGGAATTATTTGTTTTCTGCAAAGCAAAAAACATTCTTTGTTTGGCTTTGTCAAATTTTGTGAGACCGCCATCATTTATAGGAAATTTATTCTTAATTTTGTATTTAGATTGTGAATAATGTTAATGAGTACGATTTCATTTCAAAATGATGAACAAGTCCTAGATTAAGATTGCTGATTGTCGTGGACTTCTTTTCTTGTTATGGTCAGATAATAGCTGTTTACCGAGGGAAGTGAGAATTTAGGTCACTCTATTTCCTTTGCTAAGAGTAAGAGACAATAATGTAAGATTAGTAGCTTCGCCTACATTGTCATTTTTTTTTTTGCTGACTATAAAATTACATAAGTTACGTAAGATGTTTTGCTATTTTAAAGATAGTTATTAGTTATTAGAATTCTTATTTTTGAAATTTAATGTTAATGTTTTTTGATTCCCTCTAGACCTGGCGTGTGATGAACTGCTTGGGTGACTACATGGGCGTTAACATTCACGCGTCTATTGGTGGAAGTCGTCTCTCCTCGCGAGAGGATGCGCGGAGGCT